ATTAGATTCCTAATATTTATTTATTGCCAAATATACTACATATACAAACGTAGAGAGGATATTGAGTATTGACAGCTGGTACAGGGTTGTCAGGTCAGAAATAGTCTGAGAGCCAGAATGTTATTTATATATTATCAACTTAATGTCCCGAAAAGTGTTTCTTGCATTGTTATTTCTTCAAAATTTCATAGATATTTCTTGATGTAGGGAAAAAAGGTTGAATTCTTCGAAAACTGACGTGATTGCTTGTGGCACAAAATAATTAAGATATATCTACTGCTCAATCTGATAATGTGGAGAAGCTTACTATTATTTTTATCAGCTCAAGTGAAAATTACGAAAAATAAAACAACAATGTGAAAACATATTGAATTATCTCTAAAAGCAAAAAGTTATACTTTCAAAGTTGCGCCCCGCAGAAATATTTTCGTTCCGTCTGAACGCGACGTGTGACGTCACAACACCATGCCTCCTGTTATTGACTGAATTCACTTCCTAGAATTCTCCGTTGATCTCGCCGGTCAATAGTAAAATTGAGTCTAAGGGTCACATTTATAGACATTCTTGGAGGATTGACTGCAGTTTTAAGAATAATCTCTAATGAGTTTTTAAGCATTTAACTTTTTAAATTTCATACATCTTGGATGTTTTCAAAATATTCATAATTCTCGGATCTTTCAAAGATTTCAAAATCTAGAAAACTTTGGTAATTTTTAAAATATCAAAAATCGTGCCGAAGTTTCCAATATTATACAAGCTAGGTCATTACTAGACACTGCGGATCTGTGACGTCATTGGCAAACTGAAGGCAGCAACTATTTCGCCCTACAATACACGAACTCTTAATTATTAATTTCTCTGCCATTTGACCAACTTCGATAATTTTTTCCCTGGTTGATTACATTTCATCTATTCAGAGTGTTAAGTCTCGATTATGGAGATCATGAAACGTGTCCACTGGTGTAGTCAAACTATAGTTGCCAATACAGCAAAATTCAGAGGGGAGCAAATTAAGCTTACAGGCCCAGTTTGATGCAGGATTGCTAGTTCAAAGTGGAGGGAGAAAATTAATTTTTGTTTTTTGCAGAAAAAACATATGTGCCACTCATTGTCGGGTGCTATATTAAGAATACTTTGCTCCTCAAGCTGAGGTAGGGGGCGTATGCCTCCCTAAAGGGCGCTAATGTGTCAAACTTCTTGGAGCAGTTCCGCCAGGATTAACCGTGTCGAATTTTGCTCAATAGGTTAATAGCATAAGAATAAAGCTACTAGATTTGATTGTAATGTATATTATATATTTCAATACATTTTCTGTATATAACGCTAGTAAAAAAGTGAGTACAAAAAGTATATATAAGGGATAAAGCCGCATCAAATGAGACTTTCAAAGGCCACCCTTTAGTCTTCAGTTTTTATTTTATAATATTGACACTGGTACGGATAAAAATATACAGAAGTGTATAACATTGTAAAAAGCATCTTATAGCCAATGAATGTATATAAATAAAATATCTTAGGTCCATTGTAATTTAGTAAGTTTTCAAAACAAAGCAAATCCAGGCGGGATTCATAGAACCTGAAGCCAGAGATATAAACACATTTCAACAAAATGTTGGTACAAAATAGTTCGAGAGCCCATGGAGTACTCTGAACCATCTATAGTTTACTAGTGGGTGCAAACTATGCAGTCAATAAATTCAGGGTTTAACTTTTTAGTTTGTGAAATACAACACACAGAACAAGTTTAGAGACCGACGTCAAGTTATTGTATTCTTGGCTACAAAATTTACAGCCATTAGCAAAATATGGGACATTCAGTGGTGCAGATGTTATCCTGGGATAATGCAATACGTGATTTAAAAGTAATTTACGTGATACTGAACAAGATTATTGACTCCAGTGTCGTATCTACGATATCTGCAGCACGAAACACAGTTTGTATGTTCCTCCGCATACTTGAAGAGTGGAGGGAGAGGAATGTTATTGTTGGAACGCCATGACTTTCGAAGCGCACATCTACTCTGTAGTCTCATAAACCCGGTTCAAGGGATCCCTTGCATCCCCGGACCCGACGTACACTGCGTCAACTTAGATAGATAGATTCTGTTGAAATAGATGGAACAGAAAATATGCACAGCAAATATATCTTGTGGTGACTGCAGGACATACCCAGTCAATGTGAAAAGGCATATTCACATTCTTGGAATATACGTTTCAGACCCTAAAAGAGATATCCTAATATAGCATGTTCTCAGCACATCCTATTCACATCCCTTTAAAGTGTATTCACCGGAAGAACGTTCTAAGAATATGCGATTTAAGAACGGAAGTGCTCCTAGCATATTCATATAATCTGCTTTGTTAGGTTTTCAATTATCCTTCTTCATTTTGAAATTGGACTTGACAGGTTTGCGTACCTATGGAGTGATCATCTGGATAATTATACCTGATGTTTCTATGACAAACCACTGGGTACTTCACGAAAATTCAGCGGAAATCTGTTGAGTATATTAAAGACATAATATCAGTAATGTAATATCCAGATTCTTAGAATTAGGCAGTCATCTGCATAGCCAAATAGATACCAATTGGACGTATCTGCCTACCCAGTGAATATCCTGGATTTTCAGCGAGGATATCTAAGACAACCACTGGATGTATGTGTGCTACCTGCGAAGACTGCCAAATCACGTAATAAGGAATATTCTTTGAACGTGTGAAGATCTTAAAGGCCATATTTTCCCTGCATATGCTATAAAACTTTGGCAAAACACCTAGTATGAATATTCTTAGAACACACATGCTTAGAATCTGTGAAACCTGTTCCTAATAGGGGCTTGTAATATATTCTTAACAAATTCTATTAACGGTTATTGATTGTTATTTACGCACGTGTTGTTGCTATTAGAGGAGATTCTGAGAACATGCATAGATAGTGATTTACTTACTGAGTCTGACAAAACGTTTTACTACAAAGTAATAAATTATGTGAGTATTAAGGCTCTCAAACTGCCACAATTTTTAACTTTGTCGATGATAAAACTTCAATATCAATACAATTAGTTGTTCAGAATCACGTAATATAAATACTTTTTCACATCTGACATCACAACATTAAAAGAGTTCAAAACTGCAGGCATTATGAATTGCATGCCAATACGCTTTCCAAGATATCACTTCTTTTGAACTAACCTTGAACTTGAAAATTTTGGTAGGGCATAAACATGATAATTTCTAGTGGGATAGACTTGAGCCAGCTATACTGGATGAAAATCCCGCCAATCACACCTCACTATCCTTTTAAAAATACTCTTCCATTATATCATCAGTTTCCAAAAATATTTCGAAATATTGCACTTTATAATGGATTAATGGAACCCAGCACAAAATACACACCCATATACAAAATCCTGACAGGACCATACACTTAAAACAAACTTGAAAGTTCCAACACACCTAAAACATTGTGACAAGATAGTCTTTCATATGGTTGTGATACCATTAACTCCAAATACAGCTCAGAACTACCAAAATACACGTTTTCCAAAGTAAAAAATTTGTAATAATGACATACAAAATGTCGAGGTTTCGTTTTTTAAACAACATATTGGCACAATATATGAAAATAAATTTGTCTCAACTAAATTTTCATAAATAGAACGACAGAATTATTTATAACAATAATTCTCAACAAAACAGTGTGACACAGTTTTAAACTATTAAGGCGTCACAGTTTTCAGTTTCCCAAAATAAACGTCAAATGTTCCTAGTACGTTTAAAAACTCAACCACTGAGGTTTTGAATCATAAAGATCCAGTTGCTTTCAAATTGTATTACAGCAAACGTATTCAAGTTACACTCGGCCTGGTACGAGAAAAAAAAACAATATGAGATAAATGGGAATAAAATTCAAATCCAATATGAGCTGGTACATACTTTTTTTTCACTCAGTGATTAAGTTCATTCCTCAATGTTCGAAAGAGAATCGATTTCAGGAGACCTACTTTTATGGAATGGAACACATATTACATCAGCACACAAGTAAAAGAACAGAAGCCGACTCGATTTTTTATACATCTTCATCAGCTGAGAACCATCACCTATTAGTTTTCGAACAAATGGTTTACATTAATTGTCTCGATCACTTAGGGCAATTTTGTGACAAGGTGAACAATTTTCAACAAAAGTTAACTGAAAAAAGAAACATGTTAAAGTTATCTTGTGATTGTCACGCTGATCAATTCCATGTTCTGCTGGCTAAATTAAACCAAAGATGTAGAAATGAGCGTTTACGAACGTTTCGGTTACCTCAGTCGTTTGAATAAAACAATGACCTTATATTTTATTTGTCTTTCAATAGCTTAACACGACCTCGATGTGGTTCAGGATCGTTTGAGCTGTTATCGGAACACACAGTGACTGAAACATTAGTAATTTCTGGATTCTACATCTGTATCACACAAAATAAGAGGTGACGAAGCATCTGATTTACAATAAGTAAACAAAAATGCACGAGTTGGCGTGGCACCTATCTATCAATAGTCGATTTACCCGTGTGCCAGTGTATTTTCGAACAAAAACTTGTAATTCGTTGACTTGCATTGAATGCAAGATAAACACATCATATGCACTTAGCCTAAAACTAGGCTAGTGAGGATTTGCAAATTATCATAGTAAAAGTAAAAAACGGCAATAAAAAACTTGCAAACCCTCACCAGCGAAACACTGTCAACATCACAGGCCCATCGGCCTAAGTAGAAAATATGAAAATATAAACTTAAAATATATGTACAAATTCGATTTTTTGAAAAGGACCTTAAAAGCTATGCAACAAAATTTCCCACACACTTTCGAAAACATTAAGGAATTCAAATTTTATACCATTATTCAACTACGCCAACGGTATTTCGACCAAAATAATTTTTTTATTACAAAATTATATAATTTGCACATGACCATTGAAGCTTTAGTTTCAACTGACAATTAATAAATTATGACATGAAGATTTGATTTCTTTTGAAAAACTCGAAAGGAAATGCACACCTTAAACTGGAACACCCCATGTAAAAAGACGTTTACTAACACACTAAAATTCCCTAACATTTTCCAAAGTGTACGACAAATCGTTAATACCGATCAGTGTATTTTTTGTGTTTTCAGCACATTTTAATAAGTACGTCACTTAAAGCTAGGTATGAAGAGTAAGGAATAAGCAATACTGTCTGCAGCACAGGACGAAACTCCTAAACTGAACAAAAAATGATGTTGGAGAATGATTCTGAAAGAAATTTGATGTAGTTCGTTTTATTTTTAGAATATGCTCGTGCTAGGTGTTCCGCCTTGCACTCGAGAGCCCACCACCGAAGCTATTAAGGCACAATTTCAGTGATCCCCTCTCAGGAGTTCCATCAAGAGATTGAAGCTTGGTCCGTCGCCATCCTTCGATTTTATGGTCAGCATTTCTTTTCCAACCTGGATATATTATATAGTAATTAGAATCAGATAATCAAATGATATTTGGAATATAGGTCTATTCGTGATTTTGGGTGGGTCATAATAAAACTACAGAAATTACTTTCACATATTCAATGCGTGGCCGTGTGATAGACATACAGTAATGGACGAAAGTATATAGACAAATGAATATTTACCTAAATACCTTTAGAAAACGAATTCATACTTCATTGCTCCATAAACAAATGCGTTATTAGTAGAAAAACCAATTTCCTTGTTTTTACATTATCTGCAGTGATCACAATACAAGTCTGAATATAAGGGACAATAATATGTAGACAAATTCTTTTCAACATTAATATAGTACACTTTCGTGTCAGAAGAGGATTAGTTTGTGTTCATCAAGTATTGTGGAATAAGAGTGATTTTAAGACCATGCCGCGTGGTCCAGAAATTTCTTTCGACGTGAAAACTAAGATCATTGAGTTATACAAAGATGGTCAACGTCAAGTCGACATTGCAAAAAATTTGAAGCTGAAGTGTAAAACAGTTTGGGCAATGTTGAACAAATATAAACAAAAAGGTATCTTGGAAGCCTCTAAGAGAAGTGGTCGTCCTAGAAAACTAAATGCTAGATCAGTTAGATTAATAAAAGTAATTTCGTCCAAAGATCCGTTTAAAACCCCAAGACAAATAAAAGCCGAAATCGAGACAAAAGGAATTGTCAGTGTTTCTACGAAAACTATAAGTAGAGGATTAAATGATTTGAAGTTATTTGCACGTCGCCCGAGTAAGAAGCCGCTAATCTGGAGGAAAAACCGTAAGGACCGATTACAATTTGCACGGTAGCATCTTGATTGCAGAATCTGTGACTGGAAGAGGGTATGTTTCAGTGACGAATCCAAGTTCAATATATTTGGATCAGATGGTGTTCATTACGTTAGACGTCCTAGTGGACAAAGATTGAACCCCAAGTACACTTTGCCCACTGTCAAACTTGGAGGCGGGTCTGTTATGGTTTGGGGGTGCTTTACGGAGTTTGGGATGGGACCTTTACATAGAATAGATGGCATTATGGATTAGTTTGTATACACAGACATACTAAAGCATGTCATGTTACTCCATATGGAAGACAATATGCCCTTAAGATCAATCTTCCAGTAAGATAATGACCCGAAGCACACTTCAAATCTCGCAAAGAAATTCTGGGTGAAAAAATACCAGTTCTCAAATGGCCTCACAGTCTCCCGATATAAACCCCATTGAAAATCTATGGGAATACTTAGATAAGCAAATACGAGATAAAAATTATTCAAACAAGGCTGAACTTTTTGCCGCTTTAGAGCAAAAGTGGAGACAGATTGATGAATCTTATATCAAGAAACTTCTACAATCTATGCCGAGACGATGATAGGCGGTGATTGATAATAATGGTTATGCTACAAAATATTAACACAAACATGGTTGGTTTTCTATAATTCAATGAACTTTGCTTCTTTTTTCTATAATTGTTTTGCTTTGTCTATATATTTTTGTCCTTCATAGTTCCAGTTTTTTTCAATTAATTTTTTATTGAAGGGAGTCTAATGAATTTATTTATGTATAAGTGAGTATTATGCTATAACGAATTATGTATACAGGTTGGTGTATTAATAAAACAAGTTAAAAAAGAAATACAGCACAATATTAATTTGTCTATATACTTTTGTCCATTACTGTAAATGCTTCAAATTGCATATTATCTAAATCCTATTAATCTTAATCCTATTCGACATAAATGTAGTGATCTTCTATCACTTGTAGCGAAGGATTAAGCATTTATATACTAAGTGACATATAAATCCGAACACCCAGTTTAAATGGTTTTATTTTAATAAAAGTTGGTGAATGTATTTATTTTACTGTAAATAACAAGTGAAAAAATGTTCAGCCTTATCAGTTGGACACTCCGGTTCTTATACTGCTTTTTTTTAATTCACTAACGCTCTAAAAATGAATATTTCAGCCGCAGCGGATTTTGGTTCTTGACATCCTTTACGATCGGTTACGATGCCTAGAGTACGGAGACCTGTACGATTTCGTCAACATAGTGAGTTTGATAGGGGCCGTATAGTAGGACTTCGGGAAGCTGGACTTTCTTTTCGGGCAATTGCAGTTAGAGTGCAAAGAAGTGTAGACACTGTGGTTAGGTGTTGTCAGGCATGGATTCGAGAAGGCCGTACGCAAAGAGCAAGGGGCACTGGACGCCGCCGTAGAACAACAGACCGTGAAGATCGCCGCCTAAGATTATTGGCCTTAAGGGACCGTTTCTCCACTACCAGGTCCATTGCAAATGAATGGTTTGCAGAACACGGAAGACCTATTGGCATGCGAAGTGTTTACCGACGAATGAGAAGTTTTGGCTTGTTTTCATACCGGCCACACTGGGTCCTCCCTTTAACTCGAGAACCTCGACGTAATCGCCTTGAGTGGTGCAGACAACGGTCACTCTGGGATCAGGAATGGAACAGTCTTGTCTTTAGTGACGAGTCTCGATCTTGTTTAGACATGCACGATGGTCGTGCCAGGGTTAGAAGGCGACGTGGTGAAAGGAGGAATCCACAGTTTTTTGTTGAAAGACATGTTCATCACACCGTTGGAGTTATGGTTTGGGGTGCTATAGCTTATGGTTCCAGGTCACCTTTAATCTTCATCAGAGGTAACATGAACGCGCAGCGTTATATCCACGAAGTTCTAGAACCCCATCTTTTACCCTATCTTGACACCCTGGCAGATCCAACTTACCAACAAGATAATGCCCGACCACATGTTGCAAGAGTCACAATAGACTTCTTTCAACATAATGATGTCACATAGTTACCATGGCCACCAAGATCTCCCGACTTATCCCCAATTGAGCACGTGTGGGATATTATGGGTAGGAGATTGCTCAATTTGCAACGTCCTCATCAGACGCTAGAAGCACTTCGAGAGGAGTTGGTGGTTGCCTGGAATGAGATACCACAGGAGGACATTGACCACCTGATCAGTAGCAAGCCTAGGCGCGTTGGAGAATGCGTAGCACATCAGGGTGCATCCACACATTATTAAAGGTCAAAGGGCTTTAAAGCAGTGCAATCATTTTGAAATTTTTATCATTTACTTATTATGCTTCATTAAGTACTTATACAAAATTTTATTAAAATAAAACCATTTAAACTGGGTGTTCGGATTTATATGTCACTTCTTACGATATTGTAATGCAACCGCTAAAACTCATGAAAAGAACTATACTGAGTGACAAAAAAGGTAAACACCTACGTATGTTTATTAGAATTCAAGAATTTTTTACATATCGATTTATCTTGCCATGAACAACAAGTGATAAAATGATCAGGTTTTTCTGTTAAGTTTTTGTAGTGGCTGCGTGTATTGTTTTGGTGATAAAGAAGCATTCAGTTTTCTTACATTTATGGTGTCAGTTAAATGTTAAATTTCGTGGAGCTCATTGAGAAGCCTTTTTGTGATGGCTCAAAATGCCTAGAGTATGTAGAGGACAGCGATCGAGAAATTCTGGACGTCCCAGAGGAACCACAGAGTGACAAGACCGCCGTTTAAGATTTCTGGCCCTGAGAGACAGATTCAGTAGTACTCGAGCCATCGCTAATCAGTGGTTTGAAGAGCATGGAAGGATGGTTGGTATCCGTACGGTATATCGCCGAATACGACAGTTTGGCATTTTTTCTTATCGTCAACATTGGGTGCTACCTCTCACAACTGAACATCGGCGTAACCATTTGTTCTGGAAAGAATTCTATGGGACCGAGAATGAAATCAGGTGGTCTTTAGTGACGAATCCCGCTTCTGTCTGAAGGCGACGTGGTGAAAGACGTGACCCACAATTTGACAGAGAGCGTCACGTTCACCACACCGTGGGAGTTATGGTATGGGGTGGTATTGGTTATGGTAGCAGATCACCACTAATTTTCATCAGAGGCAATATGACAGCCCGACGCTATATCCAGGAAGCAGTGGAGCCTCATCTTATTCCATACCTAAACACCATCCAAAACCCCTCCAATTGAACATGTCTGGGACATGATAGGTCGCAGGTTCTTGGATTTGCAACACCCTCCACAAACTTTAGCAGCTCTTACTCACGAAGTTGCAGCCTGGAATGAAATACCCCAACAGGATATCGACCACCTTACCAGCACGATGTCCAGGCGTTGCAATGAGTGTATACGAAATCGTGGATCCTCAACACATTATTGAAAGAGCTTCGGCAGTCAGTTGACGACTCAAGCTGGGAATTTAATCATTTTACTAGTAAGGCACACTGAACATATATGCCAAAAATTATTAAAATCGGATAAACATACGGAGGTGTTTACCTTATCTTGTCATTCAGCTCAGCATAAAAGTACAAGATTCTAAATATTTTTTCAGTTTAGCAACATTGCTTCTATAGATGCCGAGCCATACAGGGAAAACCAAATTTGTCTGAAGGTTTGAGTTTAATGTGTACAAGAGAGAAGCGAGATAAGTGTGTATGTTAGAAAGAGATAGACGCCGGCTAGTCAGCGTCAAAACAGGTCCGCACTGAATACTTGTCGGGAGAACAAGTACATTTTTTTTTATTTTTTAACCATTTTTTTACCAGTCATTGTCTGAAATAGTTACGATATATCTAAGCAGGATTGACACTCCCCAATGAGCGAAGATGCGGTGTCCACTATGACAGACTACCATGATCAGAGTGGAATGCCTTGAATGTACAAGATGCGGTGTTACAAACTACCAATATGCCAAGTGCATTTTCGACCGTCATTAGGACCGATCGGTAAACGATCCCAAACAGATTTTGACACATTCAAAAATGTATTAGTTCAAAATAAAACCACTTATTTGAAACTTAACTAACGCATATTTCATCCAGCTTCTTAATGAAGGATAACAGGTGTAACATATTGGCGAGCGGTAGATTGCCGCGTCAGCGTTGCCTAAGCAACGTGGCTTTTGTCGTAAAAACAGTATGGCTAGCAAGCAAGAAGACTGGAAACAGCTCATAGAGTGGAAGGTCAAACCGAAAGGGTCGAGAACAATGGTGGGCTATCTACTATGGACATTGCGTTAGGAATGTATTTCAGGTTCTGCTCAGAGCAGCGGATCCAGGGGGGGGGTGTCCAGGGGGTCTCTCTCGTGTCTGCCTCTCTCTGATCTCGAAATGAACGTAAATCGTAAACAACTCTAGATTTGACGGTTCAGACGAGTTACAAGCAGAAATGTTAATTCATATACATAAACCAACAAAACATGGCATAACCCGAGTAAAATGAAAAACCTTGGGAATCAGGATGTACATGAACCATTAGGAGCATTAGGTAAATAGATAAAAATAAAGCACGCGGTTATATTGACGTTTTTCTACACGCACTAAATTTCTGAGTGTTTTTTGTTGGTATACTACTCTTTGAACATACTCTATTAACTGAAAAATATCAAAATTAATACCTGGCAAGTTCTCTGCAGCTCTGGAATGCGAAGTAACAATTCACCAAATTTTGCAGGACTCTCAGGATAGTGGGACAAAGTATAATCTTGAAGTGCTTTTAAGGCTTTTTCCTGTGACCCTCTAACCTTTTCTGCGTCTCGAAGTTCGGACGTATCTGAAACAGTAGTACACGTTTTATAGCACTTCTTTGTTGGCTAATAAATGTCCATCAAGTACACAGGCCTTACTAGTTTTGAGCATTCTTATTTCTTAATTCTCCCTCTAAGAGACCGACCGCGTGTCGTCTCATCCTGTATATTTTCGAAATTGTGGCCCTTCCGGTTGTGCCGGAAGTAGATACAACATGCTTATTTTAGATAAAATACCCTATATTATACAATTTTTGAAATCTAAAGATCCTAAACACATTTTATGTATAACATCCTAAAAATAAGTATCAAATTTCATATAAAAAATCACCAATGCAATAAATCCTTTGAATATTTCGTATATTTTTGTCTTTGTTGAAGTATTTGCAACTGCTTCTTTATATAGTCTACTGAAGTGGACTTCATTCGGCATTTTGATAAATAATAATACAGGTGGTAAAAAAAATCTGATGAAAATTAAATTGAGAAAAACAAATGGAAACTTCCTGTTTATATAAACTTCTTAAGCAATAAAAATAAGGTGGTTTCCATTTGAAACAATTGACATGGCATGTTTAACAATTCAATTTTCATGCGATTATTATTATGTATTATCAAAATATCGAATGTAGAATATTAAACTAGACCCACTCTCTAAGGTCGCAGTTACAAATCGTTCGACAAGGACAAAAATATTCTTTTTCGAAACTACATTTGTGATTTTTTATATAAAACTTGATATTTTTCAAAAACGGTTAGAGCTAGGGATAAGATGTTATACATGTAATATGTTTAGAATCTCGATTATATTTCAAAAAAGAATATATAGGGCGTTCCTTTTAAAATAAGCAAAATGGTATCTGGTTTCGGTATAACCGCGGGAGTGCCACCATTTGGTATACATTTTAGCAGGATTCCTCACTTTAGTTATACCATAACCTGCAAGCTTTCACAATCGTCTAACGTCAACCTTTCGATTAATGGATCGCTGCAGTTCTACATAAGTACAGTACACCAGTATTTTAATCTCGCGCCATCATGGTGGTTTAAATATGTACAAAAAATACTTGACTGCATTTTTTGTGCTTACCTGATGTGAGTAGCAGGATAACCTTCATCGCGATATACTCGTACCTATCTACTTTGAGTCGCCTCAGCTGCTCAGTGAAGTTGAGCATCCTCTCAATGCACGCCTGTACGCCCATCTCTCGCGCCTGCGCCAAACTGATGCTCTTTCCTAAAGACACACGGATCTCACCAGGAGTTGACATGGACCGGAAACAACATGAGAACAGCAACAATTCGCACCACGAGTTGATCAACAGGCAAATTTGATCGTCGATCTGAAATATAAATATTCACACTTTATATTCTTTGACTTTAAAAGGTCGGACCTGGGGTGCAAACATCGTAAAGATAAACATTGATGTATAAATAATATCGTCTCGAAAAAAAAACATCCATGTATAAAAACATCGATTACCGAAACGTCGATATATGACTACTCCGACTGCAAAATTCGCATCCAGTACGTCGTTCAGGTTGCCAGACGTTGTGAACCTTAATAGTGTATTGTATTAAAATATGGTTTACTACCCGTCAAAACAAACAGAAGCGCGCAACAGCGACAAGCAAATAGAAACAACGATCGAGTGCTCGCGTTTGTCGGGGAGTAAATAATAAAAATATCATCTTTATTCTTGAAAAAAAAGTACAATATATATTTGCTACCCGGAAAGGGCGAAGTTCAGCTTTCACAGCAGAGACAAACAGTTGTAGTTTCTAGAATATAACTTAATTTATTGTTGTAGAGAGATCTCGAAATGTGGCGTAATATTTTGCAAAATTATATAGTGATTTGGATTTCAAATATTTATGTATGGCACTATATGTTTTGGAAATATAAATACATAAAACATACGAGATGGCGCACGATAAAGTTCGTATTGCAGCCATTTGCCTAAACCACTGCAGATCATATTTCGCTTTTTAGGATGCAGGCTCTGAGGAAGGTATGTGGAATATACTTTTGAAGCAAGATGTGACGGAAGAAATATTACCAAAGAAACAAAACATGTCTGTGCAACGATGAGTATGTGTACAGGTTCTAGGTTCAGTGCTAATAATTTGATCATTGATTGCGACATACGAACATTATATGCTGTCAAGACAGGACAAGGCTCAATATGGCAGATCAGCAAGGCAGGCGCCATCTCTAGAGCATGGCCACAGGTAAAAGCCAAATAAGTGGTACTGGCGTCACAGAAACTTGTAGTATGAAAGCGAACATTTCAATTCAATATAAGGAACTGCAATCGCAACAACATAAGGGTGCAGATTTGTAAGAAATCTGGAAGAAAGATAAACGTGAACGTATACTGAGTTGAAGCGACGCAACGCGAATCGCTGCGACATTTGTCAGTTGCCATTTGATTATGTTGAATGGATTCCAGTGGAGGAGTTTAACTTTCCTTCTTTTCTCCTCAATGCGCGTGCACCTTGAAAGGGTGGAAGCAAACTCAAGTGCGTATTTATTCGGCAGAACACAACGGCATGGATTATCTCGGGACCAAAACCTTTGTTGGTGTAGTGCAAGAGGGAATTTAGAGAGGGGTCACAGGCACATTTGGTCTCAGAAGCGCTTCAAGTATCTAAACATCCATTCGCCATCCTCCCCTGCTCCTCTATTTTTAACCGTCGTTGCAAAGTGTACGGAGGTCTTAGAATCAATTTTTGGTATTCGTAAAAAGATCCATAGTAGAGTACACACAAACACTTTGGCAATGAAGTGCAACCATCGAAACTCACCGAGATATTTTTGAATAGCGGCAAACTCTTGCACCACTTGACAATTTTGTACAGTCGATGGTCGGCGATATTGCACAGATTGGCGACGAAATCCGGGTTGGTGTCTGCGGAACCAGCAAGGGCTGTACCTGCAAGTAGAGGGTGAGTCGATAAGTTGTGCACTCCACCGCCCGCACTGCCTCCAACCTCCCTAGTTAGTCGACCCTCGCTGCTCAACTTGCTCAACTCGGATTCGCTGTAGTGCCACAGGTGCTCCACGTCCATTATCTCCTGCAACAAATGATGTGTCAAGTTTGTGACAGTGATACCAAATTGTCAAGATATAGTAAGAAATACGAGTACGTATTGCAAGAAGAGACGCATAAAAAATGACCAATCATTACGCCTTATGAATATTAATATATAATAAAAAATGGGAAAAATAAAAAGAATACAGTTATTCAACGTGTTGCTCTTACAACTTTATCGTGTACTTTACACTACAATCAGACTTAGATATAGCCTTCCTGAGTGCAAAAGGTTTTCAAAAGGAATAGTCGGATAATCTTCGGAAAATTCCACTTTTATGATGAAAAAAAGATACAGAATCATTGTAATCTAACATAAAAAAATAAAGACTGATTATATTTGGGCAAAATGGTAGTTCTATCTTCTGTACTTACATTACAATGATCTCCACAACAATATGAACGACTTTTTAGATACATTATCCATTTTCATAATTTTGACACCACTCCACTTTCCCTATCATACTTTTGCATGTGGGTACGAAACATATGTATATGTCAAAAAAAATCATTATTCAATTAAAAATGAATTCAGACATTTCAGTGAATGAAATATGTGTTGAAGGGATTAACGTAAATAATCGACAAAAAATATAAACATATAAATGCACATTCCCCTATTAGTAACTGACAAATAAACAGTTGTGATACATGGAATATCATATCGCAGCATCATGTCTCTATTCAAAGGCGCTTTTTTTACTGAAAAACATCGTAACAAAACAATATTACCACTTACTTGCAATAACAGCGGGACACCCTTGGACCCGGGCGATATCCTTCTGGAACCGCCAGCCGATGCGGCAGCCCCATCTTGCGGCTCCATCTTGATGACAGGTTGACCGTCAGGCGTCAACCGAGAATCTCCGTGTAGCTGCTGTTGACCCGCCAACGATGGGGGTAGCGAGTACGAGCACTGGTAGGTGGATCGGCCCCCACGAGTTCGGTCCTCACGAATCGCTGAAAAAGTATATTAGAAACCTGTTTAAAGGAAATTAGTTGTTTAAGGTGTATACTGGTAGTGGTTAAATACAATCGCCAAACATTGCATAATAATGTTTCTCTTTCCTAGAAGTTCCTAAGAGTCTAAATACATAGCTCGTACACTACAGAGTACGACGCACTTTGCTGTATACGTTTAGGACTTTTATAGCAATGCAATGGTTCCCTCACGTATGGCATGGGACTCATTGGATGATCTAATAATATATCTTTATTTACGACTGTCCCCAGTCTTGCCATAATGTTGTGGCCAAGTTACTGCCTTGTACTCAAACACTGTATTACTTGCAATTTCTGGCAAACTGGGAAAGCCTAAAATATGGCCACTGAGGAGTATCCTAACCACCATAACCGTGTTCGTCCTGGCGATTATTTTATCTATGACAAATGACAACTGAAGATTCTACGAATTGGCTTTCCATCACCGGATTGTGAGAATTTAAAGTTTGAAATAAAAAATAAATATACTTCTTTTTAACCCTTCTTTCTTGTTTTTTTATATACATAACTTACGTACACAATACTCGTGGATACGTGTGTATCGATGCGATAAGCATCTGATTTACCATTTGTGCAGGTCCCTATGTAATAATATGGACCACAACCAATTTCTACTGATTTCTACAAGACTGGCATGGTTTATATGGAGAAACCGTTATATATATACATAAATAACACGCCAGAGTGACACGAGGGGTAGATTGGCTTCAGATCAATCAGATAAAATCAACATACCTTAGTAAAAGTTTTCTAGTTCTTGAAATATTGCCACTTTCAAGTTTTTTCAAAAAATCAGTACTTTTTCCTCCTTTTTTGCCTGTTATGGCTACAAAGAACTACTAACTTATGATTTTTTGATTAATGGTTGGTTGAAACAACGGAGTATTTCTTTCAGCATGCTAAAAAAAATAATACATTTTGTTTCAATGTGAGAACCTTTACTCAAGTTTAACTAATTACCGTGAAAAAAAAAGTACCAGACTGAATCGCCAATTGGTCTTAAACAGTAGCCTATTTAATGCTCTTAAAAAAATATTATTTTTTATTTGTAGTATTGCGCAAGTATCACGACTTCAATGACAAAACTTGAATTTATTCAGTTTTTAGTAAAATGGACCTACAAACGTTATACTATTTTTGAAACAACATTAAATAGATAGTTCTTAAGTTCATTTGCTGATGCAGTCTGATACATTTTTTTTTCACAGTAATTAGTCAAACTCTAGTACAGGTTTTCGCATGGAAACTAAATGTTGTAGCATACCGTGCTAGTTTTCAATGAAATTAATAGTCTGTTGTCTCAACCAACCAACTATTAATGGTGGCCCAGGAAAAAAAGTTAGAAGTTCTTTATAGCCATAACAGGTAAAAAAGGAGCAAAAAGTAGAGATTTTTTGAAAAAACTTAAAAGTGGCAATATCTCGAAAATTAGAAGACTTTTACCAAGGCCATGTTGAGTTTACCTGATTTGATCTGAAGCCAATCTACCTCCCGTGTCACTCTGGCGTATGTAGAAACGGAATAGGAAATGTAAATGTGCCAAATACGGAAACATAGTACGAAAACTCAAATTGGTGAATAGTAAACTGTGCAAATATAGCAACTGCAAGCATTCCTGGCAAATGCCAGTAAGTACTGGCAAAACAACAACACTGATTGTCCCTTACCTTCTAGCTTCATCCCACATTGAAGACACTTATCGAACCTACATGCAGGACATTTCTTCCGCGTCGCCACTGTAACAGGACACTGCGCTCCTCTAAGGCATAAATAATTCTTCCTGTTCTGAACAGTCCTTTTGAAGAATCCCTTGCAGGACTCACAGCTAAATATCCCATAGTGAAAGCCAGATATTTTATCACCACAGATAGGACATGGACTATTTATTAACTGTAAAGAAAAGAAATCAGGTAGAATCCTGGAAATTAGAAAGGCATATATCAAAGTTACTATTACTATCAAGCTCAACAATAATATATTTGGTTGTTGTCGCAAAACTTAAATTCAAACCAAACATTATGATGGCCGTGCTTATCTTTAACAATGTTTCTAGATTTTTAAAATAACCTCCCAATATCCAAAAGTCTGAAACAAAGTTATAGTTCGAGATAGTAAGCAGAAATTACCGCAAGGAAAATAAAAAACCTTATGATTTGTATAAACAAAACATTATTTACCTGTTGCCTAGAAATGCCAGGCTGTGCAGGCAAGGAACTGTGTAAGAGTCCAGTTTTGTCTTCAAGCGGCTCGTCTAATGGTTCTTGATCTGCTGAGTATTGAATAGTAGGATCCTCTTGAAGGCTACGATATAGGATGTTGTGATGCAGCGGACTACTGTGAATGTTGTGTATATGACGACCCTGTAATAGTATATAGTAAGAAAATAGTAGTGAGGCCAATATTCTTCTGTATCATGTTTATTTTACCATGATGATTTCGTCCGTCCGACCAAAAAGATAGCCAACCATGGACAGGTGTTTCGTGCTATTTGACAACTCTGTAGGCTTGGTTGCGGGGGCCTACTCATCAGCATGGTCACTTGTCTCCGGATAAACGAACGAAAGCATCGCAACTATTATCTATACTGGAAGTACGGCCTATCCAAATAAGACAGTGCAAAGCGCCATCTATCACGCAAGAATCGAGATTTCCGTAGAAGTCGATTCTGGTGTGATAGATGACGCTTTGCGCTGTCTTATTTCGATGTTTGTTCTACTCCAGAATATATAAGCAATCCAAACTCGGATTCAAGCTGCCCTGTTGCTGAGCGATCACGTGAAGGGTGGGCGGAGTTAGAGGAAGTTTGCTGGGAGGGTACACTTAATGGAATTTTTCTAATATTGAACAACTCATCTTATTCGGCTACTGAAGATTGAAGAGTGCAAAGAGGGGGGGGGGGGGGGGTGCATGTTTGAGCAGCGCCTTTGTGACAATTGAAAATTATAAAATTGGAAATTAAACATTTATTTTCCTATTTCCGCTTTCAGCCAATTTGTCGGTAAATGCTCCGAAGTTGAGATTCCTCACCATCTGGGTTATTGGAACGAAAACAACTAAGTTTGAAAACTGTTCTTATCTCATTGCCGATTTTAGCCAATTATTAGAGGAATTGTGAAAAATAATAATCACTCACAACTTGCACTATTGAATGAAAGAATGAGGCCAATCGTGAAAAGAATTTTTAATATTCGGATAATTTTCAACTTGATCGAAAACCAGGTATCTCAGCAACAGCACCAAAATTTTTAAGGAAAAAATAGGAAAATAGTGGGCAAAATCCGCAAAAAGAAGGAAAGTGGATTCGAGCAGGAAATAGGATAGGTAACCGAGCAATACGTATTTCTGCTGCGAACTTTTATTTGAGTTTTCCGATCATAGTATTCAGGATTGGGTAGCACAGGTCGCAGTGGTGCTTCTTCTTCACATCAATGTCACTATGGTCAATGAAATTATGCATATTGATTCTCTTCCATTACCCAAAACAGAGGACGAAGTAGTCATCGAGATTCTTCATTATCGTCCGCGGAAGTTTCGGTGCAGGCTGTGAGGTCCCCATTACTTATCCGAGCTCTACTAGTGTTTAGGCCTGCTGAGTGTGATTGTGATAAGCCCATCAACAGGAAGAAAATTTTAATTATGAATACTTGCAATTATTTTTACTTCGTGAAGAAAGGTACCAACTTTTTTCTTCACGCATACGTTGAGGCAGCATAGAGATTAATCTTGCAATATTCAATTCGTACAAGTTTTTACCTGTATGGGGCTGTGCGTAGGCGAGAACTGCTGCGTAGGCGACACCGAAACTGCAGACACACTTCCGAAGCTGCAGCAACTGGACCGCGAGGCGTCGCTGTTGTTCCTGCTAAGGCTGGGCGTCAACGCTAGATGGCGTTGCTGCAGCGGGCTGTGCGTCGGCGAGCTGAACACACTGTACGCCGAATGGACGGCTGAGTCTGGACTAGGGGTGGGGGGCATGCCGCCACCCCCGCCATTCAGGGACTTGTGCATGAGATCCTTGTGGCTGATGATCGACACACCTAACAAGAGAAACGTCAAATGTCAACACCAAATGCATATAGGTCCACATTCCATATCACTTTTTCCATATGCAGGATTTTAAAAACGTCAACCTTTTCTTGATGTAATCCTTTTGATTCTCATTCTAATGATTCCATAATAATTTATCTATTCTGCTAAATTCAAGGTTCAAATGAAGTTTATACGTTATATTAAATTTCATTCAAGACCTTAAACTAGGATTGCCATCCGACAGCCTGCCGTATCTTCTAGTACAAATGCAGTTTCTTGCATAATCTTGACCGAAGTTATATCTTAGCAATATTTTCTGCAATGTGTAGATACATATACTGGTCAGAATTTTAGAAGGGCTACAAAATCCGACAAGAATGATTGACGGAAGTACGCGTAGAGGAAGCTTACATTACTTACATTACATTCAGTATGACTCCAATAATTACGGAATCTGATAGCAATGCAAGCAAAAAGGTCGGTAATGTCAAGCATGTGTAGCAATACAGCCAGGACATACTAAAAATATTGTCGTATGTTGCTGGCTTATTTATTGCAGCAAAATAATGGAGTAAATATATTGCTCGTTTAGAAGCGCCATTAGAAAAATTAAAAGTCCTACTCACCACGCTAAAATATAGAAAAAAGTTCATATAAACATACGTACCGAAGCTACACTAGAATTCATATCAATAATATATATAGCACCTTGGATAGTTAAGGCACAAAATATAAGGGAAAGAGGGTACAATAGAATTGACAATATGCAAGTGCAATATGTTGTACATTATTATCCCTCCCCCTACCCAAAATTAAAAGCCCTCATGGGATACATTTCGATTTTTGAAAATTTCATTCGATTTTGGAGCAAAGGGCAAAGGCGGAATAGATACCATCTGTAGATATCTATATTCCTGAACTCTATTGGGTTCTCCATATTTCGAGAAATGTACATTATCGAACTTCAAGCCCATGGAGACTTTCAGTCAGAAGATCAGAAGGTACAAAAAACAGTGCAAATTTAATCAAATCCACTGAATCAGGTCCGTGAAGTTACCACGTTTTTCCACCACTAGCTCAAAAAAAATTGCAAATAAAAATTCTGGGCTAAGTTCACGTAGCAGAGATTTTCCAGATTATTTAAAACGATCAATAAATATCGTTTCTTCATCGTTTTCCCACCAAAAATTTTCATTTTTCCACCTTTAGGTTAGTAGAAAAAAGGAAAAATGAAAGCTTCTGGTGAAAAATCAAAGTGATAGGATGGAAAAATGATTCGCAATTATTTCCTCGTGCCTGGACATGTTCCGAGAAGTTTGAGTTAATTAAGTATACTGTATATACGTGTGACCCTGATTTATTTTCAATTTTTCTCATTAACAAATTGTGGAAAAACAGAAATTTATGTTGGAAAATCGAAGTGATAGAATGGCAAAACGATTTGTGATAATTTCCACGCAGTCTGAAGAGATATACAAAGTATGAGAAAATGCATGCTACTTGTGACCCTAACTACATCTTTTCAATTTTCCATATTGGTCTGGTGAAAAAGTTGTTTTGTGGTGAAAAATAGTAGATAGTGGGATAATAAAGAATCAGAAGTTTCTAGGCTAACCTCAAATGACACTGAAAAATCATTTCACATTTTTTTATTGGTCAAACGTGGAAAAACATAAAAAAATGGTAACTCCAAGTGTGCTCATTTTTTTAAATCTGACAAATTCTGGGCGAACTTCACATGCCCTTAGTAGTTTTTTGAAGTTTTTCTCGTAACGTTAACATTTTTTTAATTACTTTGGCCATTATGTTCCAGGAATATCAAAAAATCTAAACAAATGAAAAAATACATACCTGTGACAGGATGTCGCTGGCTAAGTACGGGAGAATTACTGGGCGTGCTGTGTAAGGAATAATTCCCAATTGGAGGCTGCTTGATGAGAAGAACGGGGCTCTCCTTCGGGTCTGAAAGGGTCTGTTTCGTCTGCGGTAGCGACAGATTTTCGGGCACCGGCTCCGAATTCTCTTCGTCAACGCACATGACGTCCCTTTCGCCGTCGGACAACTCGCCTTCCCAACTCATCGGCCTCGGCAGATCGTCCCTCTTCTTTTTAGATCGCATGTTTACGGAATGGAAGTCTATCCTGGCCACCTCTGCGTCGGAGCTGTCCAGTACGTCTGGAGTACCTGAAGAAAACAAAATTGTCACATCATCTAAAACATATTTACTGTTAACATTGGCAATTTATCGTAAAGGATCAGGGTCTATCAGCGGGGTTTTCGGCGCTGAAAATAATTCATATTTCAAGTTTATCGCATCTATGAAATTTTTGCAGTGTTTCAATGATACGCTCATATAAAAGTAATAGTTAAATACTCGGAAATGGGTGAAATTATCACGCTCGCAGGAGGTCAATCCTTTTTTGGCAGTCACAAAAATCGCCTTACAATAAGAAATACAGAAAACATTTTGTGGTGCGGTTTCATGTATATATTATACTATTTGTAACATTTTGAAGTTACGAAAAAATAAAACAGCAGGGAGGTTGACTTCGAATTGCCATTGAGTAGCACTATTTTAAAAAGTTTTGATTAGATACTGGACCTTTTGTCAACCTTGAAAGTTCTAAAGTTCAATTAGACCTATCTTTATCAGCATGTGGAAAGTATGGTTAACCCACAAATCCAATCAACTGATAGTTTTAACTGAAAAGATTTAAAGAAGTTTTGAAAGTTTAAATATAAAAATGACGTGCTCTTTCCGAATTTTTACTTAGTACATCACTTTTTGAATTGCGCCAAACACAGTTTTTTACAATATCTCTGTTGCGATCTCTATACAGTAACAGCTGTGTGTAACTGACACTGAACTATTCCAATGGCACCGTGTCAGTCATCAGGATTGTCATTACAGACCTACGTTTAACTTATTAGCTAGCGCTGTCAGTTATGAGTTCCGTGTTAAATTATATTAGGTCTGCCTGACTGTAATGAATCAAAATAAATAAAATACTTATTGCTTCAATTTCTTAACTCTACAGGACAGTGCACACATTTTTGTACAAAAAATATTCAATATTTTATCCACAATCTTCTCCGATTTAATTTAAATCATGATAATTTTCATAATGAACGAAAAGTATTGTCTACAATGTATTTAAATCCAATTTAACACGAGCATTCGACCATCGCTTGTATTCGCTTGTCGCTGCCATGCCCAGGCATTTATGTTCTACTGGCTAATAAGAGCAGGCGGACTTGAACATCGCGCGCCGGTGTTTTTCTGACAGGGAATAAACGGTATTTGAATATATTAGACAATAATCTTCTTCGAAGAACAAAATGCGTAAGCGCCAGCAAAAAGTGATTATATAACGAGCGTTAAACAACGATTATTCAGAACAAATCATGTACCACTGACATCGTAATGTGTACACGAGAGAAGCGTGCAATACGGATGTTAGAAAGAGGTAGAAGCACCAGGTTGCCTAGCAAAACGAGTAACTAGGCCACGGACGCATCTGCAGCTTGCCGCGTTGCCATCGGCGCACTCTTTCTAACATACATATTGCACGCTTCTCGCGCTTCTCTCTCGTACATATTACGAAGTCACTGATATTTGAATTTCTCTGTATTATAATAATTGCTTTAAAAATGAATTTTCTCGCGCATACTCCTGTTAAAGTATACTTCTGGAGTCCGTACGCCAAATTTATTCAGCTTATAAAAACAACTAAACTGTAGCAATTTTATTTTAGTTTGTCACAACTATTTTTAAAAATCAACCAGAAAACAGACATCGCCAAAATATTTTTGTGTGCCATTATTCTAATATGGCGATGTAAACAGTGAAGATACCAAGAAAATTTTGGAATGAACACAGCACATCCAAAATTATGAAGACGTCAAATTTTCAAAATCTTCAGGTAACCCACTTTTTGTGTCAAATACTTTCACATCCATTGGAGGATGAAGTTAAAAACATTTTGTAAATTCTAACTGGTGGTTCAATTGGGGTAAGGAATGACACCATTAATTCATTATAGGTAAGCCTACCTCGGTTGATTAACATATTCTACCTGAAAATAGCCAGCCTTATAGTGTATTCAGGTGGCTAAAAAAGTATCTGAGAGATCCTAGCGTCATCCACGAGACAGTAGCGGAACACAAAGACGAATTTAGATTTTTTATACCGAAATAGCCGCGCAGGTAGAAAAATAAAAACCAGAGCTTGTCTAATGTTAAAAAAGCTCCTCAGGTCGACTATTCCACAATTTCGATACTCTAGGGACAAAAGTTCGGCCATATCGGCCAGTTCTAGATGTACGAAGTTCGACACGGTTGGGATGGGAAGTTGAAGTCAGGCGGGTTTGTCTGGCAGACACTTCGTGCGACGGAATCATTAAGGGGAGCTCTGAGGAGCAAAGCCCATTGACATAGCAATAGACGAGAGATAGATCGCAGACGGCCAGTCGATGTGAAAGAATCCCTAGACTGTCCGTTACAGAAGGGTCGTACAACTCTCCTCTGAACAGCATCGAGCATGGATGTTGCAGTCGCGGCGGCAGCCCATCAAATGTGTGAGAAGCCCAACTAGCAAAGTAGTGCTATAAGCTTTTGGTAAAAGAACTATTCAGTCATAAAAGCTCTCTATTGTTGTTGCCTGAACACCAAAATGCTGGCTTAATATTGTGTGGAATGCAAATTTGCTTTCTGCAGCATATTTGCTCTAAAATGAGGTGTTTAAAATATTCTTATAGCATAGTTATACAACACCTTATAGGACAAATTTTGAAGGTTGCATAAACGTTTATACAACTATTTTATCCGGCATATTTGAGTGGTAGTGAAAATAGTTGTGTTGTGGCATCCATGGTAACGTTTATACAACAAACCCGAGCCTTGTTGTTTTGGTGTGCACATTTACTACTTTAGCCAACAAATTTCTATCAACGGAAGCACTTATACAACTGTCATTTAGTAACTGTTAAAGGCTTTACATCTGAAACAATATTACAACTTTTATAGTACAAAATTGCTGTGCTCGGCAGACATTTGTTGCTAAATATGCTGGTATACAACTTCACCATAACCTAACTTTCTGCTGTCATCTTTTTAGTTAAAATGCCATAACCAATATTTTAAGACATTCATATTGGATGAAAAGGTTTTATCAACTGTTCAAACAGGAGATACAGATCTGGTAGAAATTCTGGATAAGTCATTCGACTCTGTCCGTATTTCATTTTAGAGATTTGTCAAATTGTTGTATAACACTTGCAGATAACACCAAAATATTCTAATAAACCAAAGACAACATGGAAGAAGCCATGACTATACATAGCCACCCGCCATATTGGGCAAAAATAGGTTACTCTATTAAAAATTAATTAATTATGTTTCAGTTCGACATTACAGATATAAAGTGATAAACATTAGTGTAATTGTGCCTAATATAGGATTTGTGGAAGATTTAACGCAGATAAGTTCAGTTTTTCATCATAAAAACCTAAACATACCTTTGATCATTATTGAAATATGAATCAAATACGAAGCCCGTACAAATTGCGTAACTACTTTACTTTACTATAATCACAATAAAATTTGCTGCGCAAGTAATTCAATAGCCCTATATCACCGTGTAGAATGTTTATCATATATCAGCCCTTTTACAACCTCTTATTTCTTCTATTAGGTGTGCCCATTTCGCTTGGATATCTGTTCTAAGAGCGTTTTGAAAATGTTCTTACAGCATACAATGCTGTGTAAGGAAGACTGTATAATCATTCTTGCAACTCTAATAGGAGTGATAATTGTTAGTTGGGAGTACTCGAGGCTAGGCCTTACCTGGGCCTTGTAAAGGAAAAGGGGGTTACGTGGAGATAAGTACTTGTTAGACCTAAACAAATATCCCAGCTTTTTCCCAGAAGCTGCCGCTATTGACGAGATGAACGACTCTTCGGTAGAAGTCGGCCGTTCATCTCCAAGTAGAATACGTCAATCAATACCTATATCATCTTTTTTGAAGCCGGTGATTTTAAAATGTCTCACAATATTTCATGTTCCTCTCATACCTACCATTGTGAATGATATGCGACGTGGCTGCAGCAGGGTGCGGCGCGCTGCGCGCCCTCTGAGGCGGTTCGTCCACATTCACCGCCGTCACCGACACATGGTGGTGGTGGCCGGAGGCGGTCGCGGAGACGGTGGTGGGCAGCGCCGGCGTCGCGACGGTTTGCGCCGCCGCCGACGCTTGCGCAATGGACATCTCCGCCGCCATGCCTCCACCTCCACCGTACACGTTGTTGAGACTGCGCAGGCTATCAGCTCGCGCCGATTGTTAAGGTCGTGGTTAAGGTCAAAGTGGAGGCAGCTGCCCGCGCGGGCATCACACGGCCCGCGGCCGCCGGTACTGAGGACGGCGAGCGGCGGCGCAGGCTCACTGATTCACTGGAATAAACAATAGTACATTATAAAGGGTTGTCCAATAGGGACGCAGGAAAGTAAACGTCAATTTGACATAGACGCCATCTTTGTTTTCTGTCACCGACATGTCATTTTGTTAGTTGAATGTTTACCATTGATCGCTATGGAGTCGTATTCGATTGAAGACCGCATTAAAGTTATTCAAGAGCACTACAAAAATGGTGCAAAAATAAAAAACACGTTTCGCGCGCTTCGTGAACATTTCTGTCGCAACAACCGCCCAAACGAAACAACCATCGGTCGTCTGGTGCGTAAATTCGAGGCAACAGGTTCTGTGGCAAATCTGCCAGGCTCTGGCCGGCCAAGGAGCGTTCGCACACCGGAAAATATTGCTGTTGTGAAGGAGAGTGTGAGAGACGAACCGAAACAATTAACAACGCGTCGATCCCAAGAATTGGGCATTTCGAGAACCAGTTTGCTCCGCATTCTCCACAAGGATTTGAATGTACACGCCTACAAGATCCAATTGACGCAAGAGCTGCGTCGGGCCGACCATTTTTCGCGACGAACGTTCTCAGATTGGCTCCTTGACCACCGCCAAATTGATGCCAATTTTTCATCAAAAATCATGTTCAGCAACGAAGCGCATTTCACTTTGAATGGGACGGTAAACAAGCAAAACTGCCGCATCTGGGCGAGCGAAAATCCCCGTGAGTATCAAGAGCAGCCGATGCATCCTCAAAAAGTGACTGTGTGGTGTGCATTGTGGTCAAAAGGCATCATCGGACCTTACTTTTTCGAAAATGCGGCCGGGGACGCCGTTACCGTCAATTCTGAGCGATATCACGTGATGATAGAGGACTATTTTTTGCCGCAACTTGAAGGAATGAATATGGACGATGTTTATTTCCATCAAGACGGTGCAACATGCCACACAACCAACGTCAATATCCATCGATTGCAGTCCTTCTTCGGTGATCGCGTGATTTCGCGCAGAGGAAATGTGCCATGGCCACCAAGATCGTGCGATTTCACTCCCTTGGACTTCTTTTTATGGGGATATTTGAAAAGCAAAGTCTACGTCAACAAACCAGCCACCCTCCAAGAACTCAAAAACAACATCATTGCCTAGATAAATGCCATAGAACCGACCATGTTGCAAAATAATAATAATAATAATAATGTCTTTATTAATCCCTCCACACTGCGAGGCGAAGTTTAGCCAGCTGGCTACTCTACCACTTAACCTCACAGCGCAGGAACACATACAAGAGGAAAAACATAACATTCAATAGCAATCGACTAAATAATATATACAGTAATTAAGCTTAAATAGATTAATCTTAATATGTTGTACATCTATTCCACATAGCCCGCTCTAACAAAAAAAAAACAATAACGACAAAAAAAATATATCAGCCAGCTTGGCTAGCAGACCCCAGAAGGTGGTTCTTAATGGCTCTCTTGAAAGCAAGTATTCTCATCTTTTTGTAATTGTCATTAAGACTATTGTACACCTTGACAGCGTTGTAGGTGAAGCTACGTTGGAAAATGTTGCTCCTATAACTAGGTATATGGAAGTCAGAGTTATGTCTCAGATTCCTGTAATTGAGATCCCCACGTGGTACCAGCCTTTTTAGTAGATAAGTAGGTAGCCTATTGATTTTTATTCGTTGTACTAAAATTAGTAAGTTATATGTGAAAAGCTGGTCAACCCTCAACCATCTAAGCTCATTGATCTTCTTAGACACATGGCTAAACATTCGCAGACCACAAACGAACCTACAGCAGCTATTTTGAATTTTTTGTACTCGATATCTAGTCACGTAATCAAGAGGAAGTAAACAGCAATTGAATAATTTATTAACGATAGAACCAGAGTCTCAGCCAGTTTTTTGCGAGTCTTGAAATTCAGAATATGACGATTGGTGTATAATAACTTCAAACGCATGTATGTTAAGCGAGATAAATGCGTAACATGTTGTTTAAACCTCAAATATGAATCCATGGTGATCCCTAAATACTTCGCATGGTCTACTATAGGAAGATGGGTTTCGTTAAGACTACGAACAATTGTGCCATCTAACCGTTGTACTAACTGTTTTGGGCCAAATAGTATAGTAGAACATTTTGAAGCATTGATCTTCAGACAATGTCTTTTGCAGTACTCTTCAATGTTAACTAGATCTAAGTTCAATTTATATGATGCTTCATGCATGTCCGAAGAATCAAAAGAGAGAATTAGCTGCGTGTCATCTGCATACGTTTGAATATTACAGTGCTGAAGGCAAGTATGTAGATCAAAAGTATAAACTAAATAGAGTAACGGTCCCAAAACAGAGCCTTGAGGTACGCCAGATGCCACACTCTTTGCCGAAGAAAATCCCTTACGTGTTTTCACCTTCCGGGTACGATTGCGCAAATACGAATCGAAGAAACGTAGTGGCTTGTCAGAGAGACCATAAAATTTGAGCTTACTCAAGAGAATACCATGATGTACCATATCAAAGGCCTTAGAGAAGTCTAGCCGAATCAGAACTGTTCCTATCTGATCATCTACATTTTTGATGATATCATCCGTAATATTTAATAAAGCGGTTGTTGTGCTATGCCCTGTACGGAAACCAGACTGATATTGAGGAATCATATTGTTTTGTTCAAAATAGTGGGCGAGCTGTATGTAGACAATTTTCTCTAAAACCTTCGACAAAAAGCACAACATGCTGATGAGCCGTAGGTGAGAATACTGAGAAGAAATGTCATTGAAAATTTCGACCATCGCGTGGACGTCTGTAAATCCAGTCGTGGTGAACATTTGAGCGATATTATTTTTCATACATAAATGGTATGAATGAACCTTCAAAATAAAGTACCCAACTTGATTTGAATATCAATCTTTCTTGTTTTAATATGCGTTTACTTTCCTGCGTCCGTTTTGGACAACCCTTTATATCTAGTCAGAGAGAAGTGTGTCATTAATGGGAAGCACTTTTATAACGTGAGGTGTGTATCGCCGAAGAATACAACGTGCGAGAACAATAATTGCCTTTTTGAACGAGGTATGTATATAATTCTTTTCACTATACATTGTTTTTAAACAGCCCCACAAAAATTTAAAAGGATTGGGGGAGGGGTTGTGTGGCACATCTTCTGAAATGACGAGCTAGCGGGCTGTCGAAGTTGTCTATCTTAAACATTCCACTTGAAATCTGTTTTTTTATTTGAATGTCCGATATTTAATTGACATAGATATTTCCAAATGAAAGAGATTTATATACTATAACATTTTGACACTTTTTGTTCGACTTATAAGCGATTTTATGCACAAAAGCACAGTCTGTCAGACCGCCATCTTGGAAATTAGTGATTTATTATTCCAGGGTTATAAAATACTCATAATGAGCTTTACAATAAGGTATCACATAACCACCACATTCTATTTAAAAAATATTGCAAAATGGCGTCAAGCAGCTATCTTCAAATTGTCAATTGTTGTTTTCACATTAAAATATAGTATTTATCTATCGCAGGGGTGCTGGCGGCTCAAAACATCAATTCAAGTTTGGGAAAGTGTGGTTTTCAAAAAAGGTAGTGAGAAAATATCAGATCATCTCCATGTCATAATAATATTACATTGTCAACTATCATATTAAACGTCTGCCATATTGGATTAGAATCACATCATTTTGCTTATTGTGTTTTTTTCATCAATCCTTTTCATTTGATGTCCATAATATGGGGGTGACTTTGGAAATTATAAATCGATATTTTGCGGCGGTCGCCATATTGGATCTGGAATGACGTCACGTTGCTTTCTGTACCTCTCTTATCAAGCGCTTTCAGTCGATAACTATATCATAGGAGTAACTGCAGAAATTATAAACGCCATCTTGCGGCGGTCGACATATTTGATTTGAAGTGACGTCACTTTGCTTATTATGTTTCCCTCAAACCCTTTCATCTGATGATGATGATTTTACGGGTGAGTGGAAATTATAAATCGCCAAATTGCGGCCTCCTTCATATTGGATTTAGAATAACGTCAGTTCGCTTGTTTTCTCATTCATCTGATACCCATGTGATATATTCTGGAAATGATAAATCGCCATTATGTAACATACGCAAAATTAGATTCAAAATGACGGCGGTTAATTCATTAAGTATCACCAAACGAACCAGATAGGCTTACAAAGTTTCAAAGCAATTGGGTGAGGTTAATTTGTGAAAAATTCAGTTTTTGGATTTGTCCACACATGCATACAACAGTTACTAATCCTGGTAATTTCTCATGTAAAATATGTATATTGTTTCAGCTTGGGAAGAACCCTGTACATGAACAACTTTATCATAGTTAATTTCTATAAGAGAATTCTCTTAATTTCGTGGGGCTTGACAGAAGGAGCACACCTCCTTCATTCATAAACTACAATATGTATAAAAGTGAATGTTTTCAATAAGTCATCAGTATCGATATCGTCCTTTCGATTTTCGCCTGCTAATTTTAAAAGTGACGTTATATCGATTTTTTTGACATATACTGTTTATTTTGACATTATGTAGGTTTTTCTACAAGATGTTAACTTAGCACTTAGTTGTACGTGTTGCCTAATGGTCATGAAGCTTCAGTTATCAATGTTTGGCTCTGATGTGATGTAAAATCTGCTTCACAGATGGCAATACTGGAGGTCTGAGCTGTAAGTTGTATGTGTTGATGACAATTCCATTGGATTCTTGTCCAAAATACACTTAATTGAAATTCAAAGCTAGAAATTAGTTGCGCATCAACTTTTTCTGATCCATTCGGGAAAACACATATGCAAATTTGCTAAATTTCAAAAATGAGAGAGATAAGAAATAATTATATTCACTGTACACTGTCTAATTACAATTCATATACATGCTAAGAGTAATTACACACAACGCGGGCGCGGTGATAATTTCCCGTAATTCTCTTCAAAGTTTTTCGTAATTTATAACTTTGAACATAACCTGTCTTCAGAAAGGACAACATATAAATAACCCAT